TGTGTACACGCCCCTGCTCCAGTTTACAAGTACGAATCTCCTCCGCCACCGGTGTACAAGTACAGCTCACCACCACCACCGGTTTACAAATACAAGTCGCCTCCTCCACCTGTTTACCACGCCCCGGCTCCAGTCTACAAGTACAAATCCCCGCCGCCACCGGTGTATCACTACACCTCCCCGCCACCACCTGTTTACAAGTATAAGTCTCCACCGCCGCCTGTTTACCACGCTCCCGCCCCAGTCTACAAGTATAAGTCACCGCCGCCACCTGTTTACCACTACAGCTCCCCACCACCCCCGGTTTACAAGTACAAATCTCCTCCTCCCCCTGTCTACCACGCTCCAGCACCGGTTTACAAGTATAAGTCTCCACCGCCACCGGTCTATCACTACAGCTCCCCGCCACCACCGGTGTACAAGTACAAGTCGCCACCACCGCCTGTGTACCACGCTCCAGCACCGGTTTACAAGTATAAGTCGCCTCCTCCACCTGTTTACCACTACAGCTCGCCACCACCGCCGGTCTACGAGTACAAATCCCCGCCACCTCCTGTGTACCACGCCCCGGCTCCAGTTTACAAGTATAAGTCACCACCGCCTCCGGTCTACAAGTACCAATCCCCGCCTCCACCGGTGTACCATTCCCCGGCGCCGGTTTACAAGTACCAGTCTCCTCCTCCTCCTGTTTATTAGCTCGTCGCAAGCTAGAGGCACACGCATAAGGTGAGCAAAATCTCGTCGCTTACCAGGATCTCTGACGAACGTTTCTTTCTCGCTTTCTTTTCATTTTCTTTGATCCGATCCAGGTAGAAGATGACAACAAGTGCTGCAGGATTTTCCTTGAAATAAGGACACGCGTGGCCGCAGTGGAAACGGAGCTGCTGCACAGAAAAAGAGAGATGTGAGAACGCGAGTGTATATAGAAAACTGGACAAAAAGAAAACAAAGAAGCATCATCACAGGAGGCCATCCACGAAGTGTTCAGGGATTCTTTCGAGGGTTGGACGTTACCTTGGTTCATCCCGGTTTTTCATAAAATAAGCTCGACGAGGGCGCAATGTTTTTTTTTTCTCCTTCTTCGTTGTTTACCTCTGATCGTTTGCTTGTTCTTCTAATGAACGCCTTTCCAGTTTGAACGATATATTCCTTCTGTAGCTTAGCTTTGTGATCGTCAAAGAAAAAATGCTCCTTGCCTGGAAAGATCGGTGATCACAGCCAAGCTTTTGTGTACGTCAAAGAAAAATCCTCCTGGAAAGATCGGTGATCAGAGCCAATTTTTGTGTACCCGTGGATAGACATCAAAGAAAAAATGCTCCTTGCCTGGAAATGAAAAAATGCTCCTCCTGGAAAGATCGGTGATGCTCGTCATTCATGCAAATCATCGAGTAGCCGTAGCGAAGCAAACTGGATCCACGATCGCGGCAAAATATTTCCAAATCCGGCGAGAAATCTTTCCATCGTCGCTTCCTCGCATCAAGAAAAAAGCCAGAGATCATAGAATCACCTTTAAAACCTCCAGACGAATGGAAAATCTCCATCGCCAAGCCAGAGCCAGCGCCAGCGGGCGCCATCCCCTTCTTTCCGCCCTAGGGCTTTACAGAATATTCCCCAAATCTTTTCAAACAGTGGGATATGCTTCGAATAGGGCTCGAGCAAATAGGGTTTTGGCCGACGAGCATTCCAGAAGCCTCTAGACGTTCTGTTTCTCTCCAAATAGAACGTCGAAGAAACGCGACGTATATAAGCATTGTGGGTAGATTTCTTTGCGCATCCATCCATCCATCCAAGAACATGGCGATCAGGGTTCTAGCGAAGAGCTTCCGCCCTTCCTCCTCCCTCGCGTCTCCCCGCGGCGCGATCTTCCAGCTCCTCCGCACGAACTCCAATCAATCAGGAGCAGCGGCAGCGGCGACGCGGGGTGCCACTGGAAATCCCCCCTTGGATGGAGGATCATCGGGCGTGGATCTCACCAAGGATGATAATCTCGGTGTCATAGACAACGCGAGCATGGGGCGGAGGGGGAGAATCCGAGCGCCGGTGCCGCAGCTCCACCAGCCAGAAGGAATTTTCGGTGAGTAGATCTTTCCCCCCTTCCAAGAATCGAAATCTCTCCCCTCCTTCCAAGAATCTCACGAAATCTTGCGAAATATGAGCCAGATCTTTGGAGCCCGTATGCGCCGTCGAGGAGCATGCGCCAGATGGTGGAGACGATGAATCGCATCCTCGATCCAGGTTTCTTTCGTGGATTGGACAATGGGCTCTACATCGGGAGGATGCCGTGGGACATCGTCGATGGCAAGGATGCGTTCCACCTCCGGCTTGACATGCCGGGATTCAACAAGGAGGATGTCAAGGTCCACGTTGAGGACGAGGAGCTGGTGATCAAGGCCGAGAGGAGCGGCAGTGGCAGCGCTGGCGGCGGCGGTGGCGACGAGCCGGGGAGTGTGTTTGATATCCAGAGATCTGTTAACACGCGCATGGCTCTTCCGCCGGAGGCTGCCAGGGACAAGATCAAAGCGGAGCTCAAGAACGGTGTTCTCGCGATCGTGCTTCCTAAGGAGCAAGTTCCAGAAGAGAAGAAGCGCGTAGCTGTGGACGTAGCTTGAGAGGAGATAGAGATCTCACACGTACATTTGTAAGTCTTTCACACTTTAGCTTCTATGCAAAGAGTTTTTTTCTTCGCAGAGGTGGTGTTCTTTAGCTTGCCCTCTTTGCTAGTAGCTCTCCATCCATGGCGGAGGATTTGCGACGCTTGCAAGCCTCTTCAAACGCGGGGGTCGTGCTGCTACGATGCTCTCAACGCCAAGCTCGTCCATTCCCTTCACGCTCATGGGAGGTATGGGATCACATCGTTCTTTGGGATTTTTCGAGTGATTTTCTCGTGGGCGATCCAGGATTTGCAGGGATCGCGGGCCCAGATGCAGGGCTCATATCCTACGCCGAGATGGTCGACCAGGGAAGAAACATGACGTCCGCGGTCTCCATTCCTGTGGCGATAATGGCTATGGAAATGCGATTAACATCAAGAAAACTATCAAGGGATACATCCTGCTGGAATCCTCCTCGAAGACCAGGTGTCTCTTGCTGAAAACTTGAGATTTCTGCGACGCTGTTCCAAGGAGCTGGGCTTTAGATTTGTTGGCTATCCTTAATCGCTAATTGCGAGCAATACAAGTCTCTCTTTTCAGATCGCTTGCTTGATTCTCTCTAATCTTTGTGATGGAAAACTTCACTAGGATGCAGCTGCTGCTTTTGAGATCAAAGGGAATATTCAGAGGAACAAGTAGCAATTGAGTCTGGTCACAACAAAAGAAGTAACCTAAGGTTTACCTACGAAGGGCATTGTTTAAAAATAATAATTTAGTTCACTATCCACATCACATCACAAGATCAAGTTAGATGGGGTTAAGTGAAAGTTCCATATTTTATTATAAAGAACCAATTATAGGCTAAAGGATTTCAAAATCATGATTAAAATAATAAAGAGTTTATTGAGTCTAAGATCAAAACTAAGACTGAGATCAAATTTGAGATTGAGCCCGAGACCAAATTCAAAGTCGAGTCTAAGATCAAATCTAAAATTAAATTCAAGACCGAGTCTAAATATTAATTTAAATCGTGGGATGAAAGCCCAAAGTGATCATCTCCTAAAGGGGAGGCACTTCAGGCATTATAAATGTATAGTAAGGATAGTGTAGTATTGAAAAAACTTTTTAGTGTCCAAACTCCCTATTTGGGTATACATTTCCATGATAAGACTAGGGGTTAGGTAGGAGTAAACTAACAAATTAGAAAAGGAAAATTTATAACTTACAATTTGGTATTGAAGTTTCTTTCTCAATTTTAGTGAAGTATAGAGGTGGATTGTTAGAAGATAGTAAAAGTAAAGCATAAGTGAACTAAGGCAAAAACAAAACCTTCCTCAGAGATAGAACCTCTAATTGAATAAAAAGTTATAAATAAGGGACCTCTATATAAAGACTCTAGTGAGAAGATTTCTAAACAAGAGTTTGGTAGTGAAGTTCAGTCATCCAAGGCTCAATTAAACACTTTGGAAAGACAAGTGGCATGGACCAATGCCCTATTAGAGTGCAAGTTAAAGCATGACGAGAAGTGAAAAAAAAAAAAAAAAAAAGATTACAAATGCTAAGAGCATAGAAGGCATGTATTTGTGAGACACAAATCCCTAAGCTCCAAAGTTGTCGCGAATGTGACTTCAAGTATTGAAAGTTATCTGTCGACCAGTTCTTATGAACACTCTTACCTTATTGCCACGATGGCAGGAAGTTGATATTGCTAGACCCTTTTGTGCTAGTAGAGTTAATTGGGCATTTCGAGTGTACTTAGACCGGACGAGCATAAGGACGGAATTCCTACGTGTTATTAACTAAGCATACTTAGCCCGGTAAAGAGTTCCTGTCTCGTTTTGTCTTGCACTTGCTAGTGACAAGAACCCTCGCGTATTGAGATTAGTCCCTCAATATCGCTACATGATAGCTTATCGTGTCTGCCAAACACGCCTTTAGCGTTAGTCTCAATTCAGTCCCAAATGCTATTTATGGAAAGTGTCTAGATTTGCTCATTTGGCATATCTACGGAATGTAGAGATTGTCCTGAACACAATGGTGTTTATCCTGTGTCCAAATTTACAATCTAACATCATTCCATATTTAGTAAATTTCAAGCTTGTCCCAAAGACTAACTCCTAATACTAAGGGAGGCTTGGGGTGAAAGCCCAAAGCGTTGTAAGTGACTAAATTTTCCATTCTACTTTAGTCACTTAACCACACCTTTGAACACTTGGAGGAGTCTCATTCACAACCTCCTTAAGCCCAATTCAGGACTTGGGACTTGGTAGCCCCGAGGATGGCACCCATGCCACTCATCCCTTGCACTTAGTCTACGTGCTCCACGTGTCCAGTCCCAAGACCGACACCCAAAGGTACCACTGACATATCAGCCCGTTACGCTAAGGCCATGCCCATTCACCTTTGCCGCACTAGTGGTCCAATACCACTTGGATCACAATCCCGTCTCTCCAAGACTTGGCCATCTGTCCACGAGTGGTCAACCCAGATCCACTCCTTAGCATCCTTAGGATGCCTACAGACCTAGGGAATAGTCTTCCCCAATATCCCTTTGTCAGTTCCTACCAAGTCCCTTTTTTGTCCATGGCCATGTTCGCCAACACTGCCACTAGATCAAGGCCCACAGGCCCGACCACTAAGTCCCATGGTCCTCTGGGACTTCCTCACCATGTGACTGTATCGTTAGTCACTACACTAGAGGACTGCTCCTCCTCCTTTCCCCCATTTGGGACTCCGGGACAACATTTCGGAACACTGTGGGCCTACGCGAACCCCGTGGGTACTCTCCCCACCTTCTGCCTTTAGGTGCTCTAGCCATGGGCTTAGAGCGAGGTTCCATTGAGCCACGCCTGGCATCCAAGTAGGTAGTGCCACCCACACTTAGATTGGGAGCATCGGCTAGTCGATCTCCCAGGGGAACTAGAGCTGGCTCTTGAACACTTCAGCAAGCTACCCCGCTTGTTGGTCCGTATTCACTCTAGTCTTGGACTCCCCAGTGGTCAGTTCATCACCCAACACTGGGTCTGGCCTTCTTGGGCCAAACTGGCCTTTCCTGGCCAAACTGGCTCCACTGCAATCCTCCCCTTACTATACTTTTGGAGCTCACCAAACCCCCTAGGGTCTGGGAGACGAACACTTTGGGCTTTCACCCTCTCAGACTCGGACTCAGACTCGAACTCGGACTTGGACTCGGACTCGGCCTCGGTCTCGGTCCTGATCTCGGTCTCGGTCTCGGTCTTGGTCCCAGTCTCGGTCCCGGTCTCGGTCCCGGTCTCGGTCTCGACCTCGGACTCCATCTCGGGTCCTTCTCGGACTCCATCTCGGATTCCATCTCGGGTCCATCTCGGACTCCATCTCGAACTCTGTCTCGGTCCATCTCGGACTCCATCCCGGTCCATCTTGGACTCCATCTCGGACTCCATCTCAGTCCATCTCGGACTCCATCTTGGACTCCATCTCAGACTCCACCTCGGACTCCAACTTGGGTCCATCTCGGATTCCATCTCGGACACTTCCACATGTCATGTGTTGGTCCTTTTGGGTACCTTTTTGGAGCCTCGCTTATTGCTCGCTTCGTGCTTGCTCCTTGAGCACTTTATTGAGAGTTCCACTCCCGCTCTCGACCTATCAAGTCGGAGCTTTTAGTCCAAACGTGTTACGCTCGTTTGGCTTTCGCTTCGGCCACTGCCATGTGGCACCCTTCCGGCTCCACTTTAGGGCCTAGGGATTTTATGTCTCACAAGCGTGTGTTCCTCAAGAGGGGGGGGGGGGGCTGTAGGGGGTTCCAAATGTATAGTAGGGATAGTAGGTAGGTCGGGCATGGCCGACCAACCTGAGGCATAGTCTAGCTCCCACTTGCATGCCTGTCCTTGTTCTGCGTCCGGCTTGGGTCTAAGCCCAAGTTCCATTCCATGCTAGCTAGCAGAGTACCCATATCCTCATATTAGGCCACCGGTATGCTGAAATAGCGCCAGACTCCGTTTGGCTCCGTTTTGCGTGCTGGTCCTGGCATTGGGATACTAGTTGCTCCAGGACTGTTCCAAGTTGTTTCGGGCTCCTGTCCCTACGCTCCTTAGGCTGTTTGCTTGAGAGTTGCTCCATGGTTCGGTTCCATCACTATTTGGCTTCATGCTTAGGAGTTTGGCACAATTCCTTCGTTCAGTGGCCCAAGGCCCTGAAACTCGGGTTCCACACCAAGTTCCTTTGAACATGTGGCATGTGACACATGGCATATGTCACGTGGCACATGAAGGGTTTAGGTTCTACTTCATGGTGTAAGATAAAGGTCAAAACCATGTGCGCTACATTTGGTATCTGAGGATGAGTCTCAGCGAGTACTATCCAATGAGATTTGGCAACTAGTCTCATTACATACGCAGAGATGAAAACGATGATCCGAGTGGGTACACGTTTGGGTGCAAAGGCTTTGCAATTGTTCTTTGGGTATGGATTTTGTTACCTATTTGTACTGGATTATGTGAGCTTGCTCTTGGGCTCATAAGAGGGATTGAGTTGTTCCAGTCGCACGAGTTTGAGCTTGGGCTCGTGTGTGAGGCACATTAGCAACTCAAGGTTACATTTTGAGTTGGCAGGATTAATGTTAGGCTATTGGTGGTTCCATGAATTGTTCCTTGTACCATAGGTAAAAGCAAACCTCCCTGGGTTTGCTATGAGTGACAAATAGGCTGGTCTATGGCTGTTTAGCACAGCACTAATAGATCCTTCTTAAGCATGATTATGAGTGAATCAATCAAGACTGTAGGGATTAGTCTATTAATTCAAGTAATTGTTGTTGTGCTCTCTCATAAACTTTTCTTGGATTGAATTGAAGGCAGTGCGAAAGCAAGCTTGAGGTTTAGTCAAAGATGAGACCGAAAAGAGAGTCGTCAGGGACGAAGGATCAAACATGTAAATCATTTTCTCTTCTTGGAGGGATGATTTGCAACGAAGTGTGACTCATTGCTCATGTTCACATTATGCAATCAAAAGTCCCTACCTTGATACATGTTGGAAATGGTGGTCTTGTAAATGGTGAGTCATGGGATGAATAGCAGTGAAGCGCTAAACCATTTTGTCTAGGCTTGCCATTGAAAGACTT